AATATTAATTAACTCCACTAATTAATTTTAAAAAAATATAATATAATATAATCATTAATTGTTGTTTATATTAACTGCTTTCTCACTATTTTTGTTTAATCTTTTGTGTTTTAGTCTCTTTCTTTTTCCAATATGGTATACCAAATTGCCAAATTGCATAAATCACTAATGAACTTATTAAAATTGTCCAAAATATTATTACACTCGTTGGAGCTGGATTTGGGAATTCGCCTCTACCAAATTTAAAACATATGACTGATTCTGTCATTATATTTGCTATAGTCAACCATGCTTGTGGACCAAGTCTTTTACAATCTCTAAAGTGTTCGTATGGGAAATAAAATAAAATAAAATGTTTGAGTAAAATTTCAAAAGAAACTCAATAAAAAAATCTCATTTACTTGTCTGTTAAATATTGATAAGCTTCTCTTGTACCAGGAATTGCACAAAAAAAAAGTAATATAAATCTATATGCATTTAATGGATGTTCTGGTGGTATCCATAATAAATATTTCAAATAGAAAGCGTTCAAATCAGTTTGTAAAAACTAATTTGAAAATTTTAAATTAAATTAATAAATTATAAAAATTAAATGTCATTTTGAAAATAAAAAGAGAAGCTCATTAGATATACCAAAAATAAAAGTCCAATGACGGCTAAATAATTTTTAAAACTTTTTGTTGTTCCCCATTCGAATTTTGTCCAATGATGCGGTGTGAACTGTTGGACTGTACGTTTCATTTTCCCTTTTAATGACGGAATTTGTTTAATACCTCTCCACGAATAACCCTTCATCTCAAAATATTCACATGTTTTCATTCCAAGATATAAACCAGCCCAATTGCATATTATAACATCCAAAATCCACTTTAATAAATTAAAGTTGTAATGTAAGAATAAATTTATATATATAATATCCTAGAAGCGTATGATAATCTCATATATGCTATGGCATATATAAAAATAATATGTAACTTACATGATCCCACCAACATTCTGCAAAATTATTTAATTGATGAAAAAACTGAATGGCTTCACCAAAATTTAATTTATGTTCATGAAATTTCATCAAAACATCAACTGTTCAACTTACTTCAAGATTTCTGTAATAAATTAATTTGTAAAAATCCAGGATCAATTTTAAAATCTAATGATGTTGCAACAATTGAAAAGTCAATGCTAATTTCTATATTGAAAAGTGATAATTTAAAATTAGATGAGATTGATATTTGGAATCATGTCATTCAATGGGGTGTAGGACAAAATGAAACATTGGGAAAAAATATTTCAGTGTGGAGTAAAGATGATTTCAAAAAATTGAAAAATATATTAGAAGATATTATTCCATTGATAAGATTCCATGAAATTTCTTCAAGTGATTTCTTTCAGAAAATTACACCATTTAAAAAAATTTTTGATAAAGAGGTATATAAAGAACTTCTTCAATATTATCTTAGTCATGAAACATGGCAACCAAAGTTTCTTCTTCAAAAAGGTCCAAGAACAAGTATTGAAAATGGAAAATTACTGAATTTTAAATTAGAATCTTTAATTTCTGGTTGGATTGATCAAAATAATGCATCACATGATTTTGAATTAGTCCTTTGTGGATCTCAAGATGGATTTTCAAGGGCAGTTTTTCAGGAGAAATGTTACAATGTTGAACAAACTGTAGTGTTGATGAAAATTAAAGAAACAGGCGAATTAGTGGGTGGTTATAATCCTGTTTGTTGGAATATAAAAGGAAAATCTCCAAATGAAATATATCAGATTAAAACAAACAAAAGTTTTATTTTTAAAATTGATGAAAATCAACTTGGTAATTCAATATTAAGTAGGGTCAGAAATCCTGAAAAGGCAATATTTCATCATCAACTAAATCATAATTTTATGAGAGATAATATAAAACCTCATGAAATATCTATAGAATTTAATAATTTGGCAGTATGTAACAGTATTAATAATGAACCTTATTGTTTTTATTCAGTTTCCAATTATAAAAATAATTTAAATCTTGGAAATAATTCATATATTAGTATTTTATTAGAAGAATATGAAGTGTATAAATTATTAAAGAAAAATTAATGATTTTTAATTTAGTGTAATATTAAATAATTATAATTTCATATTTTTAATAAAATATAGTGAAAATATAATGACACTTATTTATCACTTTTCTTTTTGACTTATAATTACACATATGTTTGTTTCCGCATACGTTAATTTTATTTTTTTCCTTCATAGATGCATCAAAATTAATGTTTCGGACTTATACCATCAAAAAAAACGTTTTAATATAATGAAGGATTTACATGCTAATGTCTTAATATTAAATATCATCAGGCAACAATTTACCGAAGGACTTGCTAAACTTAACACCCCGCCTCACTATGGAACTTGACTTCACTACGGACGCGCTGGGAATCTTCTCATCGATTATACTTTTGACGAAGGAGTTATTTCGTAGCAGTGAACTTGGAGGAATTATTGGGAGTCAACAATAAAAACTTTTATAATAGTAAGTGTTGTAAATCAGATACTGTAGACCAGATTAGTTCATAAATAGATAGTATGGAGTAGTGAGATGGAACCGTCAATTCAAGGTTTAGGGACTGGCGTGATTCCTCCCTTTAAACATTTACTACTCCAATACTTTTTATTGTATTAGTTTAGCCGGCTCTTTTTCCATATAAAGATATAGTTGTCACAATTTTAATAATTTTTCCTGCTATGTTTTGTTCTGATTTTCATTTGATTAAAAGTAATTATCCGACTACATAACGATATCCTCTCTTTGGGAATGCGTTCAACTTTTTTGATACTATCATTGTTCATTTTCCCATCTTCTTTGGTTATAATCATATTACCGTAAACCTCAAAACTCGCTCAATTTTTCGATGCATGGGATAAGAGACTCTCATTTTTCCCCATAACCTAGTCATTCCGTAACTCTCTTCAAGTAAATAAGCGTATACTTGCCTCCAGTAAATTCCTTGACCGTAACTTCTTGGTGAAAATCAGAAGGATATATTAGAAATTTGATCCTGTAATCGATCAGATAATCTGTCTGTATGTTGTACGACATTTTAAGAATTTCAAAAATTTTTTCAAGTGAAAAAAAAATTGTACAATAACATGGAAATATGAATATGATCAAGATCAAATGTCTTAGAATATATTAATAACCAGCTGCACCTCGTAATATACTTATCATAATCGTGTCGGAAACAGAGAGTTCAAAACAAATTCTTACTTTCGTGAAACACCAGCGATAGATTATAGTTTTTTAGATTTTTTATCAGTATCGTCAGCAGCAACCTGACCTCACCATCTCATACCAAAAAGAGTCACGTAAACTTATATGCGATCTTGAGGAGCTAATCAAGGATTTTTCAGAGGAAGTCAGGACGTCTGCAGGACAGTTGCTGGAAAATTATAAAATTGACTTCCCTTTTGTTTCAGGCGTGGTTATGCGACTAGGAGGGTCACCTGCGTTTTGATCTCTGAAGGTCTGCGTTTTCGTCATGTATCACAGGACACACAATTACGGTGGACATCTGCGTTTTGTCCATTTTATGGTCTGCGTTTCCATTGTGTGTCCGTCGTGATCCCTTGTAGTCAGCCCTAAGCTATCGCCAGTTTTATTTGTTTATTACTGTTCTAATTATTATACTTGCTTCAACTAATATAAGAATCACCGCGAAAAGTACCATGATATCCGGACATTTTGGAATGACATAGATTCATTCGTCTTCTGCCAATTCAAGTTTGCAGCTAGATAATGCTCATTACATTACCATTTCTTGGAATTCTATTCCAATTCAGACCTGTATTGAGTGCATATTCTGATTAGATAAAAACGATTTGAACAGTAATGCACAACACCAAAGATTTGATAAAGACCGCCTTCAACGAAGTCAGCAGAACGCTGAAAGCTAAGAAATGAAAGTTCAGTTTCTGATGATAAATTGGTATGTGGATGTTCATCAATGTTCGTTTTTGCGCCTTTTGTTCTTGCATCTGATTCTTCTACAAGTACTTATTAAAATTTTCTATGCTAACAAACATGCGAATTTATGAAAGAATGAAAGGAAACAACCAGCCGAGGAAATCTCTCGCATCGTCACCACTCCTCCCAACCTGTACTTCTTCTCCACGTCCGCATGATGTTTTTCAACCTGCACAAGTTCAATTTAATAACGAGGATGTCGATTTTTTTGATGATCATGATGAGAACGAGAATGAATCAACCGAGATTCAACACTTCATCGTAAAGATTAGAAATGTGAACCATCATCTTTTTGATTATTGTATTGTCAACCTATCCGGAAAGAATCTCACTGATCCAGTAAACAAAGTCTTCTTAAATGATGATAAAAAAGAAGGAGAGAAAAAGTATATATTTCATGTTAGCTATCCTATCAGCTTTAGATTAATAACCTTACATGTTCTTTTTGATTGAACCATCAGCTGAAGAGAAACAGAATACAATATGCCGGTTAAGAGTATCAGACCTTTAATCGACAAGTATACTTTTGCAGTTAAGGTGAAGCCGAAATCGGTTTTGATGACGATGATCAGCCACAATCAACAAAATTATTTTTGAAATACCATTTGAGGGCAAGTTTAATTTCAAAAAACATTATGACATATTATGGGTACAGGATATCTATCGGCAAATTGTAGGTATATACCATACACATTATTGCTTAATATTATTCAACACATTCCACTAATTCCCATATTTCACTCTAGCATATTTTTGTTTACATCACCCTTCAATATACTTCGTGATGCGAATACACAGGAGATAGTTTACAGAGACTCACTCATAAATCTTTTAATTCCAAAGGCATTTGACGATATGAATAATAAAATTAGGTTCCAAATGCATGTTATTATAAGATCGTATGTAGTTTATTCCCAACATAATGAACCCTTGATTTATCAAATATAATATTTGCTTAGTAGAGAGATAGAAAGCACGTTCCGTGAGCAACACTGAAACCAAACAAAAGGTCAAAAGCTTCTGGCTGGTCTTGGGTCAAAATATTATGGTATTCTAAAGATTTACATGAACGCGACTGAAATGGAAGTTGGATTTTAAAAATGGTAAAGAATCTGGTGAATGTAGATATTGTGAAGACATTGAGAAATTATTCAAGGGTTTGTAATTTTTAGATATTCATATCTCGAAGACTTTACACAGTAAAACTCATGGAATCAATTATCTTTATAGTAATGCAGATATCAATCTTTTATCAACGTCAACACCACTTAAAATGTAAGGCAACAGAAAATCAACTCTTGTGCCTTCAAGGTTTTGGTGTACTTGTTTACCATACATAACGTTCATGTTGTATTTGTTACTGATTTAATTATTCATATGTTTGTCTTATCATATTAGAGCGTGAGACGATAATATGCACGATGCACCGTATTAATAAAGTCTTTTCTTATTGTATATGGTTTTTCCGATAAGAACAACTATGAATGAGATCAGAGTTTATTATGGATGCTATTATAGGTTTGTGTCTCATGTCAGTTGGAGGTGTGTATAAGGAAGGGAAAATGAATGGATTGGTGTGAGGTAAATTTGATATATTGTTTAAAAAATTTGTTTGTGGTTGACATAATTGAGATTTAAGTATATTGTACCATTTAGGAGGCCTACAAAATTTACTAAGAGGTAGTCTATGAAATAACATGTTTATTGGGAGAAAGGTTGAACAATCACATGAAAGTAATTGTTCTAAGAAAAATATTGAGTGTTTTTTGAGTAATGGTATTATCTTGAAATATTGATTTTGTATAATGTTTATCAATGGGATATTGCCACCTTTGATGTTAAAAGAGAAGATGAAAGAAGATGAAGGTTTGGCATAATATATGAGAAGAAATCATTAATGTGACACAGGCAGCTGTAATATTTTTGTTGTTTAATTTTGTAATAATAAATGATTTATTAATATAAAAATTTTAAATTTAATACAATGTATCTGAATAATTTAAATATAATAAAAATTATACCTAAATTATCAAATAAAAAAGCCCACACCAATCATTTCAATTATTGCATTCAAATTCTAGAAGAGGTTCTCCATCCTCCAGATTTGGTTGCCTCAAATAATTCTTTTTTCCAAAAATACACAACAAACACAAAATACAGCATTGCAAGTGTGCAATCCGAGTTTCCTATTTAATATAGTTGGCTTGGCCTAAAGACCTCCTAAATTTTGGGCAAATTTTAAAAGTATAGAAATCATTTTCTGTCCTACCTTTTAAAAAAATAGCCTCATTAGTTGGGTAAAATAGGTTTCTACTTTTAATGTAATGAAGAGATTTTCTCCAAAAAATTATTTAATGTAGAGTTCTATTCTTTTTTAAAACATGTACTTTACTATGTTCATGAGAAATTTGAGCACTATGATCACTGCTAAATTTAGACTAGTTTTTGTTTATCATTCCTAAATTTAGCCTGATACTCGACCATCATATCTAAATTTGGCAGTAAGGAAAATAGTTTTTAACCAAAATCATGCGTAACCCTTTTTTAAAAAATTTTATTGAATCACAAAATCACAATTTTTGAAATTTGAGCGCGTGGCGCAGCAATAGGAGGTCTTTAGACCGAGCCAACCATAGGTTATTTATAGCTCAACACACAGCCTCCTCGCTGACTTATGGTTGATTCTATGGTTTGACACACAGCCTACTCACTGACTTATGATCAATTTCCTTTATTTATATATAACTTTTATCCTTTGGATAAAAGGTTCCCTAGGTTCTATGTATGTATTTATATCCCAAAGGCATCCCCTTGAGATGTTTCTCAGTGATTGGAATGCTGGTTACTTGCTAGGTGCAGCAAAAGCTTCCCTTTTGGTTTGTTAATTATTTAGAGATTTATTATTTTAGGGTAAAATATGTTGTGTTTTATTAGTGATAATAGTATTATTATTACAGATGTGTTAGGAAGTATTAATTACTAGATCAATAATTAAAAGATTGTTATGAACATCATGATTCTGACTTGGTCTAAAACCAAGTCTTTTTATACCTCTTGGGGTTTTACAAATAACATGACTTTTGCTCTAGTTTGTCCAATAAACTATGCTTATTAATAAAATAAATATTTGGGTCAACTGAGCATTACAAATAATAATTAATAATTTAAAGTAAATATTTACATCAGCTGAATAAATTCTTGAAATATAAATATAGAAATATGATAGTGTTCCATGTCGCAATCCAAAAAAGGAAACCAAAGTGGTCGCAAAGTGGTTGCAACCAGGTGTCGCAAACCATTTTTATATGTCGCAAATATGGTTGCAACCATCACCAAGAATTGCGACCAGCATCTATAAAATATGAATATTAATAATCGTGCGTGTGATACTGCGCAATGTATGGCGCAGTAGTTTCACAAAATATATATTAAAAAAAAAATAGAAATGATGTTATTAACATGTGACTTCCGCAGTAATCTGGCTTGGTTGGATCGGCAACGTGGAACCTCTCTATCGGTCCTCATTTTACTATCTCACAGTATACTGATTGTAGGATTTGTTGAATCAAACAATGCCAAACTTCTGATCATATTTAGAACCCTGACCTGGAGTCTTTGATGTTTCCCCCAATAGGAAGGGACACTATGAGTACATTAAAAAAATACCACCTCCAATATATAGCTAGGTTCTGCTTGTATTGGTACTAACCACATTGATGCTTGAGAGAAGATGAAATTTTCAAAATTAGAACCAGATACTGGCCACCAAAAATGCAAACTATGAGAAACATCTATCAAAAACCACAACCTTGCCTTTGAATTTGTCCCCCTTTTTAAAAAGAAATAAGTGTGTAAGACCTTTCTCAGATCTCCTACACCTTGATGGTGGCCAAAGACAAATGGACCCACTTGCATGGAATGGCAATGCTATGCCAAGCAATCACCCATTGCACATTTACCTGCACTACTGAAATATGCTGGAACAAGTTGTGGAAGGACCCTGGGATGGTGAATTAGGTAAGTGGGAGCATTTCTTCAAACATGACAAATTTCAAAACCCACATGCATGACTTTACATACACAATCCATGCAAGCATTCCCGACACCATCATGGAAAAAATGTTGCATGATTTGATCATGAAGTATTGCAGCCATCAAATGGAGAACTATGTTGTAAAGGGTTCCCTCAGCCACATCAGATCCAAAACCCAGGTCTGAAATTGAAAATTATTCAACACCAAAGATAAAAAGGTAGTGTGTTTGTCAAGTGAATGCCACTCATTCTTTATGTTTTACTAGATACATATTGAGCCCTTTTTCTTTGAACATCTCATGATAAAGGTTGCAGCAAAATCAGAGCAATACTTGCCAGGATGTTTTACCACATATTGAGAAAGATTCCTACAACAAAACAATAAATTCACTTAAAAATGGCTATTTAAACCATTTCAGAGGCATATGCAACAATATTAAGATTGCTTTACCTGAGCTTGAGAATCAAGATCTATGTTTCATCAGCTGACATCATTGAAAAACCATCAGATGGAGAATACATCTACTTCCTTCAAATCATTAATCTAAAAGAAAAGAATACCCATTGATAGCCCCTGCTTATGTTGCTGCCCAGAACATTGGTGGAAAGACCATACACTCATCCTTGAAAGTGAGGGAAGATACAAAGAAATATTGATTTTTCAAACAGTGCACATAAGGACTGAGCCACCAAAAATCAATGCCATTATAATAAATGAAATATCTATTGTGGACAATGATCTGATCACCTTCATCAGCAATGCCTTCTCCCGAGTTCATAATACCCTTGCTTGATCTTTTTATTCTTGGCATTGGCATTTTGACATTAATGTAGTTCACATAAACCGATCCTTTCTTTTTTAGAACTTACTTTCAATACCAGAATCACTAACTATGTTTAAAAAAAATCATTTAGAATAACTTATAAGAATCTAATTTTATTTCTATTAAATAATTTTTACCATTATTTTCTGAATCACTTATTGAAGCATCATTTTTTTCTCAAGTTGTATTTCTCCTAGGCTTTTTGTAATTGAAATTTATCATCATGGAAAAAGTCTATTTCTGAATATCTTGTTCAATTTTTTTGTTATAAAATAATTAGTAATGATCAATGGGTGCATATCTCACAGTAAATAAAATTCAAATTTCACCATTTCTGCTAGAGTTTCTATTCATAAATTTGTAATGCAAATTCCTATTCAAATCATTCATAATATACAACTCTTTTATTTTGAATTATTCTTTGAATTATTCTTTTTCATTTTGAATTATCTTTTTTTATTTTGATTCGTTTTATTTCAAACCATTCGTTTTTAGTTCAAACCATTCGTTTTATTTCGAATCATTCGTATTTTATTCAAATTATTCAAACTAATTTTTATTTTATTCGAATTATTCATTGATTCGAATAGAAACCCTAGTTCTGGTCAAGGCAAGGTTTTCTTTCCAGTGCTATTATTGCAGGCGAGTTCTGGTCAAGTGTCTCAGTTGTTTTTCAAATTTGTATGCTCTAAAAAAAAATAGAAATAATACTACTTGAGCATCACTACAAGCAATATAGTAAAATCAAAGGGTTGGCCAAACCATTAATCACCAGAAAGGATTATGAATCAACCACACTACAAACAACATGACTTTTTAAATGATTTTATCTAATAAAATAAAATAAATAGAATGATTAATAATGAATGACTAATATTAATTATTAATGTTAAATGCCAAAATGCATCATTGATGATGACATGATATAAAATAAATTGATTGACAACAATCGGGATCTAATTTCATCTGTTTTTCATAACTGAAAAATTAAAAATAAAGCGAGTTTGTATAATTAATGATAAAACAATGAAATTTTTTGATCAACCATAAAGAAGTGACTCGCCTTAAACCATATGGCTCGTATTGCTTTTTTTGTCCTATTCATGACATGTCAAAGGCATAGTTAAACCCGACCGAATAACTCTGCAGTATGAAATCCTCAAAAAATGTATACTTGTTTATTATTATAACGAGAGTGATTATGTACCTTAATATTAATTAATTAAAATATCAAGAATCTGATTACTATTCATTGTGTATTAATTAATTAAAATATCAATGGTCTGACATCTTTGTAGGGATTTTTTACTTTGTAATGCATGTCGGACTTATTTATTTGTTTTATCTATTTACTTATTAATTATTCAGTTTATTAATTATATAAAAAAACTTAAATTTATTACAAAAAAAATAGTGAGCCTAGATTAGGTTTAGAGGTTATTTTATTTGAAAAATAAATTGTTTAATAATAAATTTTTGAAAGCATATTTTTCTTCAGAATCAGGTGGTAAAATACTATGCCTTGTTGCCAAGCGAATAATTCTGTTTATTGTAGCATCCTGGTTAGCAAAATTTGTATCTGTCAAATTATTAATGCTAATGCTCAAAAATCTAGGACAATTTCTACAAAACTAATGACATTCCTCTAATTCTGAAAAGTCATTAATTGATTCAGAAGTTAATGAAGAAACCAAAAAGATTGATTCTCCCACTAGTCTAGATGTAAAACAATTATATATAAATATCATCATTGTAACCTTATACTACATCTGTAAGTTGTATGAAAGTAAATTCATAATATCAAAAAGACCAGTAAGATCACCACAACTTCTTCTAATTAGTAAGTTAGACCAGCTGCTTTAAAAACAAAAAAAAGAACAGACACTATATAATCAAATCTGCTGTTTCAATTTTGTGGCAGGGATTTCCGATTTGGAATAAATTGCTTTTAAATCTATTATTTTATTTTTATACTGAATGATAAAATCAAATTTATGCCAAAAAAATCAGTATAAAATCATTTATGATTCCTTACTTTTCAACTAGTGTTGGAAGAAATGAAAGCTTTTGACATTCTTGAAAAAAAATCATAAATATATTTTTCTCTACGGTATTCTTTTCATTTTATAAAAAATAAAAGAAAAAATCTTTTGTATTCTCTGTTTTCTACCATAAATTTTAATTACTAGTTCTTTGCCTGGTATTAATAATTACCGGGTGCTATCTTAGCTTTTTAATGTCTTTAAGATAATTTATTTATTTATTTATTTGATATTAATATAATCTCAGGTCCTCACATGATTATAATTTAATTGATAAAATTGTACTTTAGATAGTAGTGTTGACATCAAGATTATTTAATGAATTATCACCACTTTTTAGATTTAATCCAACTGTAACAGTTCTTTTTCGTTAATTGCGAATATGAAATGTGGCACAGTAATACAAAATTTATTTCGCGTAACGCGTTA